TTTTTGACCGTGCACAAGCTGGATAAACAGAATTTGTTCAAGCTCGTGCGCGCTATGAAGATGATTTCGTTGTAAAGAAGACAACAGAAGAGTTCAATAGATTGACAGTGACGAGAGTACGAGACGCTAAGATTATATTCAACTTTTTTGTGTTACAAAAATGTATGTTTTGAAATTATGAACAGTTGGAAGTATGAATTCATTGATATTACTCTCATATTGACACTAAATGATGATATTCTTGTGACACTGAATGATCTAATAGTAATATTAACTTCAACAATTCTGGTCAATCTAGTGACCACGTTAGTTCATCATGTCTTTTCAAGACAGAGGACAATTGCTAAATATATGCTTGTTTCGCTCTATATCAGAGTTCTCAGGAAACACTGATGAAATTTCTATTTACATCATTCATCAACGAATCTTTCTTTTTCTTAACAAATTTATTGGGTTAAATATATGGTAATACAAATAATTTATAAACAATTATTATTAACATGCACACACATATCCAATGGGATAGGCATGAATATGACTCAAGGGCTTATGCCCCCCTGAAAATACTGAATATACTATATATAATTACAGTTTGTGACATAAACAGTCAGGTAAGCACCATTCACATAAGAACCTGTTCAGTCTGACTTGGAAAAAATCTAGGTTCTTATTTATATATGCAGGGTTTTACTGTGTTGTCTGATTTCATGTCACAAAACAGGCCATGGCAGCTTGTTCTGATATTATATATATGGGATGGTGCCACTCTTGGTGACACAAAATCAGGCAATCATAGTACAATATGAACTGGCTTGTGTTTCAGATTGCTTTGTGTAGGTGGCAATCCATCTAGGAGAAAGAAAGCTCGGATTTCAAACCCCCAGACCCCACCTTTGGACAATACATGTATTGACTATAAATTATGATTATTAGAGCTTGGAAATTAGGTTAAATTCTTAAAGAAAAGCGACTCATTTTGGTATGTGAGGTATAATTTACATGTATATACATGTATATAAATTGTGCACAAATTATCTAACTAATAGCTATGTGTAAAGCTATACTGTAAAGCTGCTAACACTTTATTTATCTCAATGACATTTTCAGTATTCTGGATCATTTTCATTACTTTGTGAAGAGTTTATTTTCTTTGATTTATATACATTTTTAGATTTGATTTGTTTTCATGTGATAAAAAAGAACCTGAAATGCTAGCCTAAAAAAAAGTTTTATTTAGGGTGTCTAAATAAAAAAATTTAGCTTGACACGTTCTTAAATTGTAGGTTCTTATATGCAAGGTTTTAGTCACAATTAGGGTGAAAAAATATACTAGTAATTATTAGTTGAGTTTGTTTACATCATGTAAGTTTCTGTGATCAAAATATTTTATAAACTAAATGTCTTAGGCGGTGTTTATATGGAGGCGAGCCAGCCCGGTTACCTGAGCTAATTTAATTTAATTTGTAAACGTCAACTTTTAAACTTTACACCAAAGTGTGTTTCGTTAATCGAACTACGAATCAAATTTTATAATCGCTGTAAATTTTAAAATTTTATAACAGCTATCAGCACCAAAAAATTCTTACTTTTGCTGAACTGATTAACGTCGGCAAAAATTTTCCGACCTGGGAGGTTGATAGGTCGGCATTTAGGTCGGCATTGCCGAATGCCGACCTCGTTTTCGAGTGCTGTGCTTTGATTAAAATATACTTTGATCAGAGAAACTTTTTATGTGTTTCTATTAAGTGAGCAGAAGTTGTCCATGAGAAGACAGTCAAAGACAGTAAAATGACAAGTAGATTAATTTATATCATTTATCACTCTGACAATAAACACTATATAAACAGCCATCCAAAACATGACTCCAAATTGCTCATTAACACTTTTTCATTGACAACTCCTACTCACGAGTATAATATTTTTAGGCCTTAATTATATGGGTTTCAGTTTGTAAATAAAAGAGAGAACAGTTCGTATGTAACGATACTACGATAGTGTATAATTAAAATTTAAAATAGTAAATAAAGAGATATTTATAGTCATTAAAACCTCGATTGACGGGCTTCAACAAGCGATTTCACTGAAGGATCAACAGTGAAGGGAGTGAATAGCAGCTATGTTGGGTGAAATGTCCAATTCTTCTTGGATTCGTTTCTTAAAAACCTTTAGTAGAAGCTTGAGGATGTAGGTATATCATGGGGAAACGCAGACAGAAATGGCACGCTCTCCATCGAGGAAAACAGTAAAATAGATACACTTTGATACACTTTGGAAGCATCCCTGCTAGCGTGGTAATTCTTTCCTACTCGTCATGTTGCCTCAAAAACTTGTTATTTGACGGATTGTCGCTCAAAGAAACAAAAAAGCTCAATATATTTTGGAAACTTCTAGCTTCACTCCTTCGCTTGCGAAAAAAACAACGCGCGTGTTATTGCCAGAAATGAGACTGGACCGAGTATAACCCAATCTCGTTCCCCGAGCATGCCCATTCGCAGGTTAAGGGTGGGCATAGCTCTGGAGAAATCGAATTGATTCAGGCCTGTGATTGGCTAACGGCAGATAGTACGTTGGATTTCCAACGCGAGTTCTACGCATGCAAGTGTTTGGAATTTCTCGTCGAAAATTTGATACTTTTTACACTGAAATCGATTGAAAACAACTAGAAATTCTGGAGGAAGTATGTACGAAAGCTTCGGATTGATAGGGATACAACTACCTGAAAAATACAAGGAGAACTTCGACGTTTCGAGCGAAGGCGCTTCGACTTGTGCTGTTAGTGTTTGTATACATCGTACTTGACCTTTTGTATTGTCATACCTAACACTATGTATACCATGAATTCTGACAGGAGAGTTAAATGTAAATTTTAAAGCATAAAATATATAATACTTATTCTTGAGGAGATTATATTTATCAGCAAAGGTCAAGTACGATGTATACAAACACAAACAGTACAAATCGAAGGGCTTTCGCTCGAAACGTCGAAATTCTCCTTGTATTTTTCAGGTAGTTGTATCCCTATCCAACCGAAGCTTTCGTACATATTTCCCCCAGAATTTTTAGTTGTTTCCAATTCGATTTCAATGTAAAATGTATCAAATTTTCGACGCTAAATTCTAAACACTTTATTTATGATGCTTGTGATGTTACTCTGAGTGTATTTCCACACCGGGCAAGCTTGAAAAATATGCCTGACCACGGTGGGAGTCGAACCTACGACCTTTGGAATACTATCCCAATGCTCTGCCAACTGAGCTACGCGGTCTGGTCGGTTCGAGTATGTGATATTTCGGAACAGAATCTAGTTCCTTCGATATCGATGTAATCTAATAATCATGAATTTTTCTGTGTTGGTGTAATGTACTCAGGTGAATATGATGCTTGTGATGTTACTCTGAGTGTATTTCCACAGCGGGCAAGCTTGAAAAATATGCCTGACCACGGTGGGAGTCGAACCTACGACCTTTGGAATACTAGCCCAAAAATCATGATTATTAGATTACATCGATATTGAAGGAACTAGATTCTGTTCCGCAATATCACATACTCGAACCGACCAGACCGCGTAGCTCAGTTGGCAGAGCATTGGGCAAGTATTCCAAAGGTCGTAGGTTCGACTCCCACCGTGGTCAGGCATATTTTTCAACCTTGCCCGGTGTGGAAATACACTCAGAGTAACATCACAAGCATCATATTCACCTGAGTACATTACACCAACACTTTATTTATATTTTGCAACAATGCCGAGCATGCGTAGAACACACGTTGGAAATTCAACGTGAATCAATTCGATTTCTCCAGAGCTATGCCCACCCTTAACCTGCGAACGGGCATGCTCGGGGAACGAGATTGAGTATAACCGGGTTGCGCAACTTCCGGTGGAGTCCCCAGGCAAAAACAATCACAGACATGCGCAGAAGGGACTGTAACCTACCTTTAAAGGACATTGGCAACCAAAATTTTTATTAGATATTTCAATCCTACTTGACAACCTAACTATGAAAATATTATCATTTCCTTCTCGAACATTTTAGTCTACGAGTAAAATGCATGCAAACGTTGTGTTTCGCCGCCATCTTGGAAAAAATGACCTTCGAAGGTCAATTTTGTGACGTCATTAGATGGGTAGCACCAAAACTACAAGAGAGAATTCTATTGCGTGCTTTTATGTTAGCTAAAGATATGTCGTTTTGAGCGTTATACTGGCCAATACTCTTCGCAATCAAACAAGAGAAGTCTACACTATCAGATAAAAACATATCTAGCGACTGAGAAAGCAAGGAATGGCGCAATTTACAATACTGGTAATTGATCATAAAATATTGCATTAGTGTTTGCCTTGTTACACTCGAATTTCTGCGTTTATTTAACACGGATTAGGATATATACTAAGAGAAATAGTGTCACAAATAAGGTACATACTTGGTAAAACGTTTCTGCCTTTGGTTTTGGTTCAAAGTGCACTACGCGTGGTAATACTCGGTATTGTTTTATAGTCATGAAATTGTGTTTACCCAGCTAATGACGTCAGATAATGTATGCTGTGGCATAAATGGTTTTTTTTCAAAATGGCGGACAACTGTTGAACTTTTTATTACATTTTCTCAACAACTAAACGCGACAAACCGGCCAAAATATAAAATTAAGTATTCCGTAAGTAAACCTAATAGATATAAGCGATAAAAATTTTGATTGCTAATGTCCTTTAATACTGGTAAAACTTTCTTCGAAGCTCGAAATTTGCAAAAATAGAACGAGCATTAAGCATAGCCTGCGTAGCAGGCGTTTAGTGCGTGCGGGAGAAGAAAGGGCGTCGTTTGAGGAAACGCCTGCCCAAATGGCTATGACAAATTAGTTTTCGCCCATTAAGGATGATTGACGTTTTGTAATTAGCAACTTCGCCCATTATCCAATCATAGTCGAGATTTATATTTAGCATCATGCATGCCTTTTGCTCGGCAACTAGGGAGATTTGCGGAGATGTTATGTATTATTTAAAACATGAGCAGCAGTGTTTTATCAGAAATAAAGATGATCTGATAAAACACACACTGCTAGTGTTTTAATTCTAGTAAGTTCATTGGCGAAGTAACTTTCAAAAAATTCGTTGTGTATGTCGAGAAAATCATAGTTAAAGTTTATGTAAATCAAGCAGGGTTGGTAAGTTAGAAGAATAATTAGGCCAAATCGTTATTAGTGCCGTTTAGAAAACAAAGAAAACAAAAGGCCAAGACAAAGAAAACAAAAGCCTACTTTAGTGTGACGGTGTTTGGCCTAATTAGGGAGTGGTCATTATTTGACCACTCCCTAAAGTTTTACCCTTATAAATAGGGGGGGGGGTCAAAAGAGTTTTAACACAGAGAAAGGGGGGGGGGCGGTCATAAAAGTTTTTGAACTTAAATACCATGTCTGGAGTTCTGATTTCTATAATCACAAAAGCAAAAAAGAAGACTCTGAAAATGCTATTTTCAACGATCTAGAGACTCGAAATTTTCAAAATTTCCCTGCTCGGCGCCAACCATGGTAGCGCCTCGCGATCGTGGGAGTCGGGCCCACTAAGTTTAACAAGCTTTTTACCCCCTGAGTGACCCAGTTGTGGTATTTACATAAACATACCATGCAAGTACACATAACTGATCAGATTCGGTCTATCAACTCACAATGTAACGCTGTATATCCAAAAATCTGTTTCAGAAAATGCTCACATTTCAGTTCTAGGGGTGGAAAAATACACCAACAACCATCTGTCATCTCTCCACACTCAATATAGTATGGTCCCTATTTGTAGATGCCCACCCCCAGACAAGTTCTTAAAAAAACTCTGTGTTCAAATCATTTCGCTGTATGAAGACGGGTCATGGGTTAGGTTTATGGTAGGACAAATGTTGCATTGCAAAGTAGTAACACATAATATATATTTTTTAATCATATATGGTTGAAGCATATTCACCAGGGTAAAACATCATGAGCTAGATTAAACAGATTGTCCTAATATATAACTTTACCTGCAACGCACACCTGTTTCATTGCTGTTAATTTTTCAATCCACACTGGGGGGGGGGTCAGAAAAGTTTCTACTTTTATGAGGGGGGAGGCACAAAAAGTTTGCCTTCAGTCTGGAGGGGGGTCAAAAAGTTTTCAATCTTTATTTTCCCCATTTCCCCCATCCGTTATGTCGGTACTCCTTATTCAGCAAACCTACCAACTCTGTAAACAAGGGAAATCCCTATCACATATAAAGATACGACACGTTTATGATTTTTCCTTGCGTTTTCCTCATGAATTATTAATGACTTTTTTAAGCTATTTTACACAACAGTCCCAACACAGAGCTTTTATCCTTTAAAAGGCTCCTGAACCAAATAACAGTTGAGCGTGTTTTGAAATGTTATTCTTAAAATCATCGTCCAACTTCATAGCTGCAATGCCAAGTAATGTCACGACAAATAACAAGACAACTATAAGAAATAGTCAATCCCTGCTCGTGCTGGCATCAAAGCTATTAAAATAGCATGAAGCAAGCTTTAATTTGCCGATATAAATATATAACTGAATTTGAAAGATCAAACTTATCCGTATCCCGTAGGAAGAATCGCGATAACCGGCGTCTTCACCACGTAGCAAATTAATAATAGACTTTCTCTGTTCTGGTTTCAACTGAATTTCGAAGCCTAAATACTTGAAATATAAGAAAGAGTTTGCTCCAAAGCAAGCATATTTTTATGAGAAATATACGGCTATCGCTATTCGATACGCGAGCAAAATTATTGTTGACATTTGAGTTACGTAATTACTTCCGTTAACGAGATTGACCAATGGGAAGCTATTCCGAAGATTTTTGGATTCTTTCTGCTATTGGAACATCCGTACAAGCTGCAATTTTCGCCTGGCATAGCATTTCTCAATGGAATAAAACAAAGCAATACAATATGGAACACTTTGTGAAAACTTATATCATGTTTTTCATGCAGGTTTACGATCACGTGATAGCAAAACATTATAAAAATAACATAATATGTTTCCACGCCCACTTTCACAGCCATCTTCGCTTCGATAGGCTATGCAATCTCGTTCCCCGAGCATGTCCGTTGGCAGGTTAAGGGTGGGCATAGCTCTGGAGAAATCGAATTGATACACGTTGAATTTCCAACGTGAGTTCTACGCATGCTCGGCAATGTTGCAAAATATAAATAAAGTATTTAGAATTTCGCGTCGAAAATTTGATACATTTTACACTGAAATCGAATTGAAAACAACTAAAAATTCTGGGGGAAATATGTACGAAAGCTTCGGTTGGATAGGGATGCAGCTACCTGAAAAATACAAGGAGAACTTCGACGTTTCGAGCGAAGGCGCTTCGATTTGTACTGTTAGTGTTTGTATACATCGTACTTGACCTTTGCTGATAAATATAATCTCCTCAATAATAAGTATTATATATTTTTATGCTTTAAAATTTACATTTAACTCTCCTGTCAGAATTTATGGTATACGTAGTGTTAGGTATGACAGTATATAAAAGGTCAAGTACGATGTATACAAACACTAACAGCACAAGTCGAAGCGCCTTCGCTCGAAACGTCGAAGTTCTCCTTGTATTTTTCAGGTAGTTGTATCCCTATCAATCCGCAGCTTTCGTACATATTTCCTCCAGAATTTCTAGTTGTTTTCAATCGATTTCAGTGTAAAAAGTATCAAATTTATCGACGAGAAATTCCAAATGCTTTGTTTATATTTTGCTGCAATTGCCAAGCATGCGTAGAACTCACGTTGGAAATCCAACTTACTATCTGCCGTTAGCCAATCACAGGCGTGAATCAATTCGATTTCTCCAGAGCTATGCCCACCCTTAACATGCGAACGGACATACTGGGGGAACGAGATTGTACGCTATGGCTTACCTAATTACATACTTAGCCTAGATTATTTTATCTTTACAACAATTTAGAAAAACGAGGCTTCGGTAGCGAAGTGGTTAGCGCACTTGCTTTTCACCTTTAAGGTCGCAGGTTCCAATTCCAGTGAGAACTTTCCCAATGCGACTCGAACCCAGTCCTCGTGTGAAAAGAGTAAAAGTCAACGCTCTGCCGAACGTCGTGTGCTTTCTCCGGGTACTCCGGTTTTCTCCTACAGAGAGAGTTGACAGGATGAGTTACGTATGCTGTTGTGGGTACCCTGCTCTAGTTGACAAAGCCAAATAAATAAATAAATAAACACATAAATAAATTGTGATGTTACTCCCCTAACTGTGTTGATCCTATATAACCCACCCGGACAACTTTCTCCGTGGGAAGAAACCGGAGCAAAACCACGACTTTCGACTGACTCTTTTCATATGAGTCCGTAGCGAGAATCGAACACACGAACTCAGAGGTGAAAGCCGCTTATTTTGACGACTGCGCTACCGAATTATGTATTCATTGCAATTAATGCAATGATCAACTAATTATAATATAGCAGTTTGACGGCGTTGGCATCTCTGAGGCTTCAATTTGTAAAATACGCTACAAAAAGATGCTGCGACACACTGATTTTGGCCACTAAATCTTTCAACATGGGCGTTTGAATTTTGAAGACGAACCGAGGTTAATTATTAAATATATCATAGTCTACGCAACAAATTCATAAATCATGAAAATAGAAACGTGATATATGTTAACCAAGATCTTCTAATTGATGCATAATCAATTACAGGCTTGAACATTTTGGTTTAACATAACACGTTTCTAATTTCATGAATCTGTGGCTTGCATTACGATCAGTATTTAACCACGGTTCGTTTTCAAACGCGATGCTGAAAGATTTGGTGACCAAAATCAGTGTGTCAGAGCATCTTTTTGTACGTATTTGCTCCTGGTTGGGATTAAAAACATATGATTTATACATTTGCGTTCGAACATTCCATCATTCTACAAGAAAAATATCTGATATTTTAGATCCTATAAATCTGATATTTTAGAAAAAGTTCTGATATATTTCGGACACGGGTAAAATATTCAATTTATAAGCAATGCTTCCAATAAGGGGAGGATATATAGTGGTTCAGTAGGATGATAGGTTTTGGTGAAGCGTAACATGTCAGGAAAAATCAAGAAAAACTATATAAACAAATTGGCGGTTAGTCATGCTTGGTGTTGGCTCCTCGTGTGCTTTTGGATCCGATAAATACTGCAATACTTGTATAAAGTCTGGCAAGTGGTTATTTGTTGGAAAAACAGTACAACCATGGATTTCTAGCGGTGCTATTAGTCGAAATTTAATGCCAACAAGAAGTCGAGCTGGATATACTAAGTCGAGAGTTCCGTTCTATAGTAACTGCTCGGCAACTTTTAATATTGAATATCTTCGTATGTGTGGTGACATCAGTCCTAATCCTGGACCTAAATCTACCAGAACATGTACAGAATGCGACCGAGTTGTTGCTAAAAATCATCGAGCGACAAAGTGTGATGGCTGCTCTATGTGGACTCACATCAATTGTGGAGACGTGCCACCAAAACAGTATCGGCAAATGAAATTATCTGGTAATATTTCACACACTTGCCGGTCATGCTTTGAAATACTACAGGAGTTTCCCTTCGCTAATACAAGCCTAAATTCTAGTAATGGTTCTGGTGATGACTCAGCCTCAGACGAGCAAGACCAACATTGCATCAGTTTGGGCTGATTACGACAATATTATTGAAGGCAATCCAAAAAACTATAAAATCGGTCATTTAAATGCAAATAGTATTGGCGGTTTCAAATTTTTCGAAATAAAAACATGGCTACTTTCAAGAAGATTTGATATGCTTGTTATTTCTGAAACCAAGATTGATGCAAGTTTTCGTGATAGTCACTTTCGAGTTGATTGCTACCGCTTTTGTCGTAGCGATAGAAAGGCCGGTGGGGGAGGGTTTATCATTTACGTTAGGAGCGATATTTGCTTTGTTAGAGCAAACCAGCTCAATGGTTTAAAGTTTGTGCAAGATTTGCATAGGGCGCCTTTTCATATAATGGCTATATTCGATGATGTGGATGATATGCTTTACGCATTTGGACAATTGTATGTTGAAATCCTAAATGAGCATGCCCCTTTGAAACAGACAGTCATTAGGGGAAATCAGGTACCATATACAGGGTGTATCAAAAAACCCGCAACCTCGGAATTTCCTAAGAAATCACTTTGCAATTCTTAAGCATAAAAGATTTTAGGCCCCTGGGAATTGAAATCGAATTGCTAATAGATCATGTTACTGTTGTTGTGCATTAAATAAATGCATAAATTTTGCTTTATGCACTCGCGTGTGCAGTAATTTTGACAGTTATGCTATTTTAAATTCCCAGGCGCCTAAAATCTTTTGTCTTTAAAACAATGTCGATGTCTTGGGAAATTCCGAGGTTGCGCTTTTTTTGATACACCCTGTATGACTGAGTAGGCATAGAAATAAATTATGGAAAAAATTCAGAAGGGATCGCACAAATCGAAATTATGATCAGTATAAAATTCAGCGTAACAAATGTACCTCCTTAAGACGAAAGGCAATAAAAGAATACTTTCTGAAAAAATCGACAGAACCTGAAAACCCACGAGAGTTTTGGAATGCGTATCGTCCATTTTTGCACAGTAAATCAAAACAAGCTAATGATATTGTTCTTAATGACAATGGTGTAGTGATAAGTGAAAAAGGTGAAATTGCCGAACTGTTCAATGAAAATTTTCTTAAAGTTGCCGATGATGTTGGACTTATTAGCGAAAGAGATTACGGTAAAGACTTCGAAGACCATCCAAGCATTAAAGCCATTCATCAGCATAATAGGGAATCGGGCATGCCTTTCTGTTTTGAATTTCATCACACAAATGAAGGTGAGGTAAAAAACCTACTTTCTGCAATAAATGTTAGAAAATTGTGTGGTTATGACATGTTATCGCCGAAGCTAATTAAAGAATCAGCAGATATAATTGCTACGCCAATTGCCAACATTCTGAATGCCTCCATTAACCAGAACTGTTATCCGAGTGCTTGGAAAAAAGGGCAATTAACGCCTTTATTAAAAAAAGATGACGAATTTAGCAAAGCCAACTATAGACCGGTGACAGTCTTAGGGGCTGTTTATATGGAAGCGAGCCAGCCCGGGTACCGGAGCTGGCTCGCATCCCCGAGATGAATTTCACCACGCGTTTACACGAAACTTACATCAAGGGCTGGCTCTTCGTGTTCTAATTTTTTTTGGCGTAAACAACTCCATATATGGAAGTTGGTTCCTTATATGGGAGTTGTTTGTGTATTCTGAATTATTCTAATTATTTGCGCATGCGTATTTGCTAAATTTCCAGCCCTACTAGGAGGAACACCGCGGAACAACGTCTGCGCATGCGTCAGCCGTACCTGTAATAGTATTGCGAACTTGATGAGAAGCTGTTCCGAACGTTTCCGAAGGCTCAAAATGGCGGTAAAAAGGAGTGACTTCATTGTGCGTCTTTACAGCCAGATTTCGAGCGCAAAAATAAACATGTCATTCTAAAAACTAGGAATAAATACAGCCAGAAGTTTCAAGAAATTGTATTGTACAAGAACATGAACTAAAGGTGATTGTTGACAAATTTATCGTGTAAAACATTTTGTTTATCAACTAAGCAACGACAATTTCCGAATTTTCGTTTGAGATACATTTCTTTAAAAAAAACTGTGTCGCCAAATATAAAAAAATTTCTTGTTCACAATAATTAAACTTTAGGATTTATTCTACAATTTGAGTGGGTTAAGAAGCTTAACTTTTCGAGAGTTTTCTTAACTTTTGAGTTTGAATTTTTGTTTTGAATAATTTTGCAAATATTTTCGAAGTCGTGTCCGTTAAAATTAACAATTTTTACATGAATTATATTTCATTCCATACTTTAAATGCCAGGACGCTTTCAATTAATGTCTAGTCTACCCATTTGCTTTTTTTTCTCGTTTATTTTACTAATTTTTGACCAATTAATAAGCATGTTTTTGTTTTGATGATATTCAAATTCCCCGCCATATTTTCATAATTTGGTGCATGCGCAGACGTTTTTCCGCGGTGTTACTAGGAGGGCTAGCCCTCCCTGTTGCGTTTATATGGAAAACTACCCAGCCCGTTTACCCGAGGTCTCGGGTCACACGAAGCGGGACCTCGGTTAGGCGGGCCAGCTCGGTTCTCATATAAACGCAACATGAAATTTAGTAGGAAATATTAACAGACGGGATCCCGCCTAAAGCGAGCTAGCTCGGGTACCCGAGCTGGCTCGACTCATATAAAGAGCCCCTTACCCATGTTAAATAATATATATGAGAGGTTATTAGCCGCTGAAATGGATGAATTTTGTACAGCGATTTTATCTGATTATATCAGCTCTTATCGTAAATGTTATAGTTGTGAGACAGCTCTATTACGGTTGACTGAGGATTGGCGGAAAATGCGCGATAATGGGGAATTAGTTGCTGTAGTTGCTATGGACCTCTCGAAAGCGTTTGATGAGATTCAACATGACCTACGTCTGGCCAAGCTCAAGGCATATGGTGTAGAAGAGAGGAGTTGTGCGCTGCTCAGGGACTATTTATCTGGAAGTCAACAAAGGGTTAAGATTGGCGACACTGTCTCTGCTTGGGCAGATGTCAAACGTGGAGTCCCTCAGGGAAGTGTTTTGGGGCCTACATTTTTTAATATATTTATTAATGACTTGTTTTACCATGTCACACAAGCCAAACTAAATGCTTATGCAGATGATCATCAAATATACCATTCTGATATTGATCCTGTAGCTTTAGAAAAATGTGTATGTGATGAATTCGAAGTTGCAAATCAGTGGTATCATAATAATGGAATGATTGTAAATGAGACCAAGTATCAAGCACTAATTCTTGGCAAAACTGATTATTGCTTCTCTTTCCCAGCCGTAAAAGAATCAATAGATATGTTTGGTATGGACATTGATAATAAACTAAATTTCAATAATCATATCACAACCGTTTGTAAAAAGATCAACAAACAGTTCAATGTCATGCTAAGATTTCGGAATTTGATTTCAAAAGATACTCTTTTATAGCTGTATAAAGCATTTATTCTGCCGAACTTTGACTATTGTTCATCGGTATGGCACTTTTGCGGTGCACGTAATACAGATAAAATAGACGCTCTGAATAAGCGCATTCTTAGATTTATGTTGCGAGACAATACTTCTTCGTACAGTATCTTGCTTAGTAAAGTTGGTTTAAAATCTTTATATACTAAACGCTTACAGAAATTTTTGATCATATTATACAAAAGTTTGTATATTCCTAATTATCCAGGATATATTAGAAATATGTTCAAACTACGGGATACACCATATGGTTTACGTGGTAACTACATCTTATCGCTACCTCATTCGAAGACAACGACCTATGGTTTACATTCCTTTTCCTATTTGGCAGCGAAATTATGGAATTCTCTTCCAGACTGTTATAGAATGACCAACTTTCTTGATTTTAAACGACGTATTCTACGTTATGAACCTTCACATTAAATTATTTTTGTATATATATAGTTTCTATTTAGTATTAGTATTAGTATTTATTTATATATTAATTAATTATACTTAGTTACTCGGAGAAATTAGCTATGTAAGCTACTCACAAATTCGAGTATAAATAAAGTTTATGTATGTATGCATGTATGTATGTCTACTGTAAGTTTCATTGAACAAAATGCCCAAAAGTCTCGACCTTCTCTTTAAAATATTTCTAACATTTTAAGAACCGTTTAGAATAAGGAATTACGTCATTCTTTAACTTTTCTACGTTAATTTTGGATACGGCCGCATGATATTTAACAGGATGCATAAATTTAATAGTATAATTATAATTTTCCCAAACTAATTTTCCATCATCAAACTTACGGCTGCCATACTTGTCCGGTAGATACAACCCCAAATGAAATTCCCATGAACTTTGTAAGTCTATGAAACTCATAATGGTCGGCACTGAAACTTCCAAAAATACTCGATTTTTATGAAACACAGCAGAGATCCGCTGCCACTGATCACTGAACTTCTTGGGTACATAAAATAGATCTGACCACGTGTTAAAACAACGCTTTACTCCTTCGCCATTTGCAAGATGAGTTTCTATCAATTTCGTGACATTTATATATTTACTTGAGCGATATTGTTTAATGATTTCTGAGTAAGAGTCTTCACAAGGCTTTGCAGACGTCCTCCACCAACTCCATTTGGTTATTAGTGGTCGTTTCCACATGGTATGAACTCCATGTACCACAAATTTTCCACCCAACCAAAATTTCTCCTTATCAAGCTTGTGGAATGTCCACCAGTTCACAATCATGTCGTCATTTATGTACAAGTAACCACGGTAATCCGGATACCTATGGATACAACAACGAATTAGCAGACACCACTACACAGGCTGTATAAAAAAAAAACTGAACAGATTTGAAATTGCTCTCAATTTCGCAAAACAGCTATTAATATCCAGTTTTTTATGTATATACCTTCTTTGGGTACTTGTAATGTAGAATAATGAAAAAAATTTCTGGAACTCAAATTTGTGAACCACGGGTGTGTCTCTTTTCCAAGAAACTAAAAATGGCTTGCGAACGAAATTTAAAAGCTTTATTCATATTTTGAGTCAATAGATTGAAAATATGTTGGGTTTTTAATTACTGTACAATATTTCAGATAATTTGACTTAGTATTAAGCCCTTTTCTATTCACGCAAACTTGCATTTTTTCTTAAAAATCAGCTATTTGCATGCTTCAATGATTTACTTTCTTGCACTTCACTTGGTGGAATTAATATTAGAATGTTAGGGTTTGTAATCCAAGTGAGTATATATACATTTTAAGACCTGACTTAATGCCTTTGCCTAATTTGCATATGTCAGCAATATGCAAATTAGGCGGTAAAGGCATTAATTAAGCATGCGAAAGGCTGATTTTTTAGGAAAAAATGAATAGTTAGAGGGCTTAAACTGAAGCAAATTGTCTGAAAATTTGTACAGTAATTAAAAACATGTTGCATCTATTAACTCAAAATATGATTAAAGCTTTTAAATTCCGTGCGCAAGCCATTTTTAGTTTGTTGGAAAAGACATACTGTATCCCCCTGGTTCACAAAATTTGAGTTCGAGAAATTTTTTTCATTGTTCTACATTATAAGTACCCAAAGAAGGTATATACATAAAAAACTGGATACTAATAGCTGTTTTGCGAAATTGAGCGCAAATTCATATCTG